TTTTGTTTGTTGAAATTACTTAAAATTATCACAAAAATGGCAATTCAACCAAATACAATTATCAGAATTTTTTTTTCTTTTTTTGGAAATTTAGTTTTAGTTGATTGTGATCGAGAAATTTGAAGTTTCTTGGTGGGTCGAGAATGTTTGATTTATCAATTTATCAGATAAATAATTAGAGGCTGTGTGTAATTCACGGTGAATCAAGCAAATACTAGGTTGGGTTAATGAACCTATTCAACGACATGTTTGTTTGGACTAGAGTTAGTTTACGTTTCCACTGTACTGCTCTTCAACTTACTATTATTTTTCTAGTATAACAATTACTGTACTATTCTTCAACTTACTATTATTTTTTTAGTATAACAATTAGAATATCGAAATTTGAACATCTGGCTTAAAAAAAAGTACATATTAATTACTGTTGAGTGATGTTCACATTATTATCGGAAGATTTAATAAATAAAATAAATATTTTTAAAATTTGAGAATGAAAATAGTTTTAGATTTGAGTTTGAGAAACTTCCGACCAAAATATAGAATTAGAAAATGGAAAAATTAAATAATTGTAACCAAAAATTCGAATTAAATCAAATAAAAAAGTTATCCCTAAATTTAGGGGAATCCGTCCCCACATTTATTAACGAACTAACTGAAAATGGCGGGAAATTGGATATCGCTGACGTTAACCAATCCACACCGTTGAATTTTAGTGGGACCCACGGGATCTTCTGAATCTACGGTCATAAATCGCATCGAAAATGACTGACCATACAAGACCGTGTTTGGAAATTTATCCTTTAAAAGGACCGCTAGAATCACATGGATCGGAGTTTCTTTTTGTTCGCCGCCACCGCCGCCACCCTCTGCTCATCGGAGTCTTTGGCCTCATCGCATTCTATCGGCGATACGCTGATTCGTCAAGTTATCGACGATGGAGATTTCAAGCGTCACTCTCTCGGAGCGGAACATCATTTTTCGCTCTTCCAGCGAAGGTTCGGGAAATCATATGCCACCGAGGAAGAGCACGATCTTAGGCTTAAGATCTTCAAGGCTAATATGCGACAGGCGCTGCGCATCAGTCATTTGATCCATCCGTCATTCATGGCGTCACTCAGTTCTCCGATTTGATTCCTTCCCAGTTTAGGGAGGCCTTTCTAGGGCTCCAAAGAAATCGTCTCAGGCTTCCTGTTCATACTAATGCGGCTCCGATTCTTCCTACGGAGAATCTTCCGATTCATTTTGATTGGAGAGAACGTAGTGTTTTAACTGCTGTAAAAAATCAGGTACCGTACTATATCTCAATCTCCCGTTTAATTGCGATCTTTGAAGTTCTAGGCGTGTTTTGATTCTTGTTCTTATTCTTCCTTTCTGTAGGATACGCCTATTTCATTTGGTTACCTATGATTTCTGTTTTTGAACGAATTTTAATCTGTGGAAGTTTGGAGGACAATTGTAGATCTGAAATGCACTTATACTTGTGTCTTCATCCCTAGTTCTTACAGCATATATAGATATTTTACAAGAAGCTGATTGTATTCTAAAGCAATTTCTTTCTAATTATCTGCTATCTTACCATTTGGGGTTGTTTAAAAGTCTAAAATCAGCTTTGAACATCTACATTCGATCAGGGATCTTGCGGATCCTGCTGGAGTTTCAGTACAACCGGTGCCCTAGAAGGTTAACTTCCTTGCGACAGGGGAACTTGTTAGCTTAAGCGAACAGCAGCTGGTAGATTGTGATCACGAGGTTCCCTTCCTTCTAGCTTTGTAATTGCTCTGTTCTTCTCACTCCCACGTATAAATTGATCTTGATAGCTATGTCATAACTTTATTTGAATTTAAAAAGTGATTCATTTCTTGTGGATGTCGGGAATCTTAATCTGTAACGGCTCAAACCCACAGTTAGCATATATTGTTTTCTTTGAGCTTTCCCTTTCAGACTTTCCCTCAAGGCTTTTAAAACGCCTATGCTAGAGAGAGGTTTCCACACTTTTATAAAGAATGATTCTCTCCTCCCAACCGACGTGGGATCTCACATAATCAACTCTTGAATTTTCTCCCAGCTTTCATTGATTGTTGTCTTGGGTTACTGTTAATTTTTTCAATCACTAGCCAGGATTATTCTGGTGATTGCTTGGTTTGTTTATTTCTCTTGTTTTCATGATGATGGCTGCTAATCTTGTTTCTCACAAAATTTATGTGATTTGTGCAAAATCAGAAGCTATTATTCATAGGTGTAATGAGGGCATGTTTGGAACTGATGTTCAAAATCATTCTAAAACAAGCTTTGAATCATTCAAAATCAGTTTGAATTGTATTCAACTTGAATTTAAAGGTGTAAAATCAATTTTGAATGATTAAAAGATGTATGGGAAGATGATATTAACCATTAGGCTATGGTTGAAGGAGAATCCATGCCATACGTCTGTTTCCTCTTTAGTGATACTATTCTGAAACCTTTGAACTTGCATTTTATAAATTCTGCATATATCTTCTGCACACGGCAGTGTGATCCAGAGGGAGCTGGTTCCTGTGACTCTGGTTGCAATGGTGGCTCGATGAACAGTGCATTTGAATACACATTAAAAGTTGGTTGCAATCGTGAAGCCTGTAAGTTTGACAGGTCCAAGATCGCCATTTGAATACACATTAAAAGTTGGTTGCAATCGTGAAGCCTGTAAGTTTGACAGGTCCAAGATCGCTGCTGCATCAGTTGCCAATTTCAGTGTTGTTTCACTTGATGAGGACCAAATTGCTGAAAATCTGGTGGAAAATGGCTCACTTGCAAGTAAAATACCCCATCAAATCATTTAACTTTCATTATTCTGATACAGATTCCATATGTCCTTAAGAACATCCAATATGGATCTAACTAGAATCAGCAGCTAAATTCTGGTTTTTTTTTTTTTTTACCACAATGCAGTTGCTATCAATGCGGTGTTCATGCAGTCATATATAGGTGGAGTATCTTGTCCATTCATATGTTCAAAGCGGTTGGAACATGGAGTTTTGCTGGTGGGTTATGGCTCAGCTGACTATTGGATCATCAAAAACTCATGGGGAGAAAATGGATACTACAGAATCTGCAGAGGAAGGAATATTTGTGGAGTTGATTCCTTGGTCTCAACTGTTGCAGCTGTTCATACCCCAATTGCAGCAGCAGGTCAGTAAATTGGATCTCTCTTAACCCTGTAATTTATGAAAATGTGTGAATTCTAAGCCTTTAGGTCCCTCCTTTTCTTTCTTTCCTTATTCTTATTGGATTCATTATTGTTCTCCTGTTCCATAAAATATGCCAAGAAACCAAAAGAATCTGGTTCATGTACATTCCCTTCTTATACTATCACATTTTAAATGAAATGGAAGAGATTTAAATTGGTACATAACTGCCCCTTTTATTTGATTACTACGGATTGGATCAAAAATAATTGTGGAATACTTAAAAATAATTGTGGAATATAGTATTCCAACTCTTGGGGATGAATCGAAAATGAAATAACTACCCTTGCTATTGATTACTACCGATTGGATAAAAATAATTGTGGAATATAGGATTCCAACTCTCTGGATGAATCAAAAATGAAATATTTATTAGTCCCTAATGAAATATTTATTTGTTCATTTTTATGAAGAGAATAGTTTTATTGAGCAATGAAAACTACTAAGGTTTGGACCTCTCGGGAATAATTTAGAACTATACCTATACCTATAGGTACATTAAAAAAACATAGTAAACCAATTGATAAATAGATCTAATCGCAATTTCGAGTATAGAATTGAAATGGATGAAATAATGGATGAAATAGAAAATGATACGATCAACCAAATTCATCAAATATGAAAGAGTACAAAGAAATTGTTCGATCCTCTTCATTTGATTTCATAAATGTTCGCAGGCATAAATGCCTATAAATATAAGGGAGACTGACTCAATAACCTTGTCTGTTACACTAGCTCATCGGTGATACCACTTATAAAGACACTGGGGCCTGTCTAAGAACCCAGTTTATTTTCCATTAAAAAAGAACTAGTGCTAATGCCCAAAACCTCAGGCTTGGGCACTCCTCAACAAGAGCAATGGCAGTGGCAATTACCTTACCATATTTAAATTAAAAAATCAATACAAACCACTTCTGTGCACAAACCAAACCAAAACAGAGCTTTTCTCTCATGGGGTTCATATTGAAACTGAATATTATTATTCATCATCTTCATCTAGCAATGCAAATGAGAAAGGAAGGAATTTGTAGCCGTCTCCCTCGTAGAACTTGTTTTGGAACTCGACCCAATGAAGACGCAGTGCGTGAAGGAAAGCACTTAAAGTCTCCATCAACAGCAACACACCAACGGTAGCGAAAATGAAAACAATGATGCCTACTATTAAGATTACAATGTTGTTGAACCTAAGAGGAAATAAAATGTTTTGTTAATGTTATGTTATAACCGTTGGGAATTTTTTTAATGCAAAACAGAGCTTTCATCGATAAAAATGAAAGAATATAAAGGCATAAAAGAAAAAATATGTGAGATCCCATTTAGAGCTTTCATCGATAAAAATGAAAGAATATAAAGGCATAAAAGAAAAAATATGTGAGATCCCATTTTGAGGAGAACGAAAATCATTTTTTTACAAGGGTATGGAAACTTCTTCCTAGTAGAGGTGTTTTAAAAACCTTGAGGGGAAGCCCAAAAGGGAAAATCCAAATAGGACTATCTGCTAGCGGTGGGCTTGGACTGTTACAAAAAAAGAAGCTGCAAAAAAAGGGGAAGTTACCACAAGCTCCAAAATGGAGCTCCAATCGAGTTAAATAAGACTTAACGAGTAATTACGAAAAGACAGTTTCTGATCTCCAATGAGAAACATAGAATCTAACAAGAGACCAAATATCGCTAAAGTTCTCTTTCACCCTAAAGATTCTATAGTTTTTCTCACACCAGAGTTCATAGAATCTTGAGACTAAAGTTCTCTTTCACCCTAAAGATTCTATAGTTTTTCTCACACCAGAGTTCATAGAATCTTGAGACCAAATATCGCTAAAGTTCTCTTTCACCCTAAAGATTTTATAGTTTTTCTCACACCAGAGTTCCTAGATAATGCAACAATTGGTAATTACCATTCACTACCACCAGCTTAGATGATTATATAGAATGCTCTAAAAGCACAACAGCTGCATAATGCGGCCTACCATTTAGGTGCATCAATAGGTCCAGTTCTCTACATCTCCAGTCTATAATTTAGGGAAAAAAAAAATTGAGGGCAAAGAAGGTATATGAAGAAGAGTTACATACCCCGCAGATAGAACGAGAACCTTGTCATAAAACACGCTCGATAACTCTGAGTGCGCAAGACTGGATAACAAAAAAGAAAATAATTAATAAATAAAATAAAAATACCAAACCTTAAAGAGAACAGGTCACTGAAGACAATTAGTTATTACTAGCACTCCCCCATGTTCATACAGAACAAATGGAGTTTTTTTTTTTTTTTTTTTTTTTTTTTTTTTTTTTTTTTTTTTTTTTTTTTTTTTTTTTT